TAAAAAAAAAAATAAGGTGTAGCAAAAAATATATTTTGTTCTTTTTCACATAATTATAATTTGTCACAAAGCTTAAACCCTGTTAAACATAAACTAAAAACACACACTTAAAAGTTGAGTATTTGCTTACCTATACACTATGCAGCTTGTTAGCAACTTGGGGACCACAGTTGTTTATTGTATTGATGCTTGTAAATCAAGGATGTAAAAAAACGTCAAGAGAGAACTATTGTATGATCATAATGCATTTCTAAATTGGATGAAACTCCTCCCCTGAAAAAAGAAAAAACAAATATAGATTGCAAAAAAAAGTATTCTGCATGATCAACAATGAGAATTACAAGCATTACCATTAGCAAGAGAAAATATTTTTACAAAACAAATTGGTTTTCCATAATCTTAAAATCTTCAAGTTTTTCACCATGTTTGACTTGTTGACAGCAGTGTAGTAGAACAGTCACAGTAATAAAACTCAGTAGTGTTTATATACAGTTGCTTTTTGGACATATATTCAAGCATATTTACCCTTATACTATAGTTGAAGGTTCAGCACCGTATCTTCGCTGATTCACTCTAGACATTTAAGTCAATCATTTTTATGATGAAAAATACATACCCAGAACCACTTGTGCTTAATTTTTACTGAATGAAATCTTAGCTCTGCCGAAGAAAATTATCAAAAATTAACTTTTTTGCCAGCAAATCAGTGACTATCAGATCATTCTAATTTTTCATAACTTTTAAAAAGATTATTCTTTTTCAGTCATAAACATATTTAGACCTTCTGAAATGACATTAAACACTTCACAGTGATTTTAGCATTTGCAATAAAAAAAACAACTACAAAACCTATATTTAAAATTTATTTAAGTGTTTACAAAATTTACAAGTTCAAATATTTCTTCAAAAACTGTTTTCCAACCTTTTCAGCACAGAGCCACTCCCTCCTCCTTTCCCACACTAAACAAGACAGACTCACCGAGTGCCTGAACTTTATAAAGTAATAGATATAACATCTATAAATGGTTATTTTAATTTTCTTATCTGTATAACGACTTAAAAGCAAGATAACTTTGAACAGAGGTAAAACACAACATTAGTAATTTCAATTTAAATATAAAAGGAATACTAAATTATATTGAAAAAGCTAGTACATTTACTAAAGTTCACATTTCAAGTCTGTGAAAGTCACCCAACAGGTTATATATGATCTTAAACTTTAAGATGGTAATTAATACTCTGTCCTACAACAATTAAATGTACACCAAGATGTAAACATGGTAATGAGGTCTTTTAAACCCACCCTTTCTGTGTGCTTGTATTTATGACAAATGCTACGAAGGCTATCCACCACACTCCTAATTTTGAACTACTGATCAGAGAAAAGGAGGCTATATCACTCATCGTACATGTTACAATTATAAAAAAAAAAAAAAAAAGTAGTAAGCTAAGTGTAAGATATCAAG